TAAGAAGAGGAAGAGTGCAGCAGCAGCAGCTGCTGCAGCGGCTGCAGCAGCTGCTGCTGTTGCTGCTGTTGCTGCTTCTGCTGTCTAGTATTAAAGGGGGCCCCTCTGCTGCTCTTTCAATAACCAGCAGCACTCAGGGGCCCCCTCTTGCATTTATCCTCCCACAGATGCAACGGGGCTTCGTTTCAAGACGCAGCAGCAGCAGCAGCAGCAACAGCAGCAGCAACAGCAGCAGCAACAGCAGCAGCAACAGCAGCAGCAACAGCAGCAACGATGACGAAGACAGCAACAGCAAAAGCAGCAGCACCAGCAGCACTAGCAGCACCAGCAGCACTAGCAGCAGCAGCAGCAGCATCATCAGCAGCATCAGCAGCAAGAGCAGCAGCAGGAAGAAGGGTATATTAGTCCCCCGTAGGCCTGGCCGAAGCCCTTTGCTTCCTCGTCATCATTCTCACCGATATATTCATCTACGAACGCATGCACAGATTAAAAAGCATTTTAAGAGAGTACCTTTGGATAGCCCAGAGGGAGCAGCAGCAGCAGCAGCTGCTGCTGCTGCTGCTGCTGCTCCTTCTGCCTCTCTTGCACAGAAAATAGCAGCAGAAGCAGCAACACCTGCTGCTTTTAAATGGGTATCTGGCTGCTTCCTTAGACTTCGAGTCTGCTGCAGCAGGAAAGATGATGCAGCAGAGACACTAAGAAGGGTGGAGGCAGCACTGCAGCAGCTAAACCTCCTTGCTGCTAAGCAGCAGCAGCAAAGGCTGCAGCAGCAGCAGCAGCTGCTGCAACAGCAGCTCATAGTGCTGAAACAACAGCTGCAACAGCAGCAACAACAGCAACGCATGCAAAAGCAGCAGCAGCAGATGCAGCAGCAGGTGGAGGAGCTGCAGCAGCGGCTACAGCAGGTGCAGCAACAGCAGCAGCAGCAACAGCAACAGGGTGTGCCTCCTACCTTTATAATGTCTGTATCGTCTCTGCCTATACACCGCAAGCTGCTTTGTTTGCTGCGATCTCCCTTTAAACATAAAGACAGCAGAGAGCAGTATGAATTGCTGCAGCGCAAAATCCTCGTGGATGTACACCTCAGCAGCGAACTGATACATTATCTTAAAACGAAGCAGCAGCAGCTATGCAGCAGCAGCAACTGCAGCAGCAACAGCAGTAACAGCACCAACAGCAGCGACAGCATCAGCAGCAGCGGAAGCAGCAGCAGCAGCAAGAGCAACAGCAACAGCAACAGCAACAGCGATAGCACTAACAACAGCAGCAGCGACAGCAGCAGCGACAGCAGCAGCAGCAGCAGCAGCAGCAGCAGCGACATGTGGGGTTATCCAATGGAGTCGGTGAAGAGACTCCGCTCTTTCGTGCGTCTCTACCGCCGTCATCTGGGTGTATATACTCAGCAGCAGCAGCAGCAGCAGCAGCAGCAGCAGCAACAGGAGCAGCAGCAGCAGCAAGGGTTGAATAAAGATAAGGCTTTAGAAGTTGCGGTGTATAGGGAGTTAGAGACTCTGGTCTTTCCCGCCGCATTTTCTGCAGTGTCTCCGCAGCAACAGCAGCAACATCAGCATCAGCAGCAGCAGCAGCAGCTGCAGCAGCAGCAACTATCAACAATCTTAAGCATCACTCTACCAGATAGAGTAGAAGTACAGCCTCACTTTGAGCTGTACATACACCCGGAGAAACTCCGCAGAATTTGGGGGCGGCTGCAGATGCAAAAATTTTGGCAATCCAAATATATTAAATATAAAGAGGTATGTCTTTGTCTTTATTATTTAATTAATTAATTAATTAATTAATTAATTATTTATTTAGATAGATAGATAGATAGATAGTTATAAAATATAAAGAGGTATGTCTTTGTCTTAATTAATTAATTAATTAATTATTTATTTATTTAGTTAGTTAGTTAGATAGATAGATATAAAATATAAAGAGGTATGTCTTTGTCTTTATTAATTAATTAATTAATTATTTATTTATTTAGATAGATAGTTAGATAGATAGATATAAAACATAAAGAGGTATGTCTTTGTCTTTATTATTTAATTAATTAATTAATTAATTATTTAGTTAGTTAGTTATTTATTTAGTTAGTTAATTAGATAGATAGATATAAAATATAAAGAGGTATGTCTTTGTCTTTATTATTTAATTAGTTAATTAATTAATTAATTAATTAATTAGTTAGTTAGTTAGTTATTTACTTAGTTAGTTAGTTAGATAGATAGATATAAAATATAAAGAGGTATGTCTTTGTCTTTATTATTTAATTAATTAATTATTTATTTATTTATTTAGATAGATAGATAGTTAGTTATTTATATATTTAGTTAGTTAGTTAGTTAGTTATAAAAGATAAAGAGGTATTTCTTTGTCTTTATTATTTATTTATTTATTTATTTATTTATTTGTTTAGTTAGTTAGTTAGTTAGATAGATAGATAT